CCATCCATCCATCCATCCATCCATCCATCCATCCATCCATCCATCCATCCACCTATCTATCTGTCCATCTATCTATCCAAGCTAGAACATGGGCCGTAAACAACCAGCAGTCTCACATTCTCATGTGCTCAGGGCTGCTCGGGGTTGTAGCTTTGAAACTCTATCCCGGCTATGAGTATCCCTAACTCCAGGTTACTTTTCTCGCCCCCACCAGTCCCCCATGTTTTTCCTCTCCCCCCCCTTGCCCAGGGGCCGGGGGGCCAGGGGGAGAGGAAATGCGGTATTGTATGGAGATACTGGTTTGGCTACATATTTCAGCCCGCTTGTATATTAACAGAGGGCATACTCTATTTAAATAGCTATCTCAGGGAAAAAAAAAAAAATAATTGTGTTGTCTTTGCTCCCCCAAGAGTCTTTGTATGTAAACTAATGCGAGTTGCCTCTATTTTAAAGACAGCGGCCTTTAAAACAGTGCTCCTGGGGAGCTGTTGCAAGCCTAGTTAAAAGCACATGTTGAGCCGGCAGAGAGCATTTCTCAGATGATTATCGGAACCTATCGATTTCATCAAAGATGCTCCATTAAAAGCTCGGGACCCGATCTCTTCTGACCTCCCCTCGGAAACGTCGGGCCCTAAGAAGTCACGTCCCGAGGAGGAGCGGGGCAGTCGCTGAGGGTCCCTTTGAAACGTTTCATTTTACACCAGCCGAGTTAAACTCAGCATATTTGATCAAATATTTATTTTTCCCCTTGTTGTTTCCCTGCTCCATTCAATACTCCGCTGAATAAATCAAAGGGACCCCAGCAGCAGTTAAAGCGCCCTCTGGTTACGAATTGTTTACTGACGGCCGCGGTCATAGGATAATATTTAAAAAAAACAAGCTCGTTTCTTACAATAACTGTTTATTATTTCACATGATTTGGGTTTGCGTGTTTCGGATGGAAGAGGCGAAGCCAACTCAGTGTCTACACTGTGTTTAATTAATCGTGTACTCGACTTCAGTGCACATACCACATCCAAACCCCTGGGAGGCTTTTTCATGAGCTCTTTGGGTTTGTGTTTTGTCGCCGTCTTTTTTTTTTTTGTGTGTGTGTGTCATAATCTTTTCATTAAACACCCCGAATCAAAGCGTCGGGCCAACGTGTGTGTGTGTGAGCGCTGCACTGCAAGCAGAAAGATATTTGTATGAGCACCCAGATCTTATGGGCAGTTACAAAAAGGGGAGAGGGGATACAGTTTCAAACGCTCCGTTACAGCTGCGCGGCCCATCTCTCTCAATAAAAAGGGTGCACTTAAAAAGGCGGATTTGTATGTTTACGGTTCTACCGACGGCCGCATAACCCGATACCGCTGGTACTTCCTCGCGGTGTTGGGGCTCAGCAGACAATAGGACCCCCTTGTTCGGAGCGGGGCCGGGGAATGGCGATGGGATGGAGCCGGAATGAATCGGTCGAGGCGCGTTTTGTTCCACCGCACGCCAGAATTCGGAGCTCGTCAGACTCATTCGCAAAATATGTTCCTAATCCAAACGAGTAAACCGATCCGCGCAGCCGCGGAAATATATTTAGGAGAACGAGCCCCCGGATGGCGGAATAAAATTGAATCTCACCCTCATTTTTAACAGCATAATCCGCCACAACAAGCCAAGCCCCCCCCTCCCCCTCGCCCACCCCAACCCTCAGCGTGAAAGTATTTCTAGGCAAGATAAAATTAGTGAGGCCGTCATTTGTCACCTAACTTGGCACGGCCGCAGTTCCTAAACCTCCTGTTTGAAATCCGCCTCCTTTGGAGCAATTCCAGCAAAAAGAGGGGGTGGGAGGGGGCAGAAGGGAGGGTAAATAAATAAATAAAGGAGGAATCTGGAGCGCACACACACGCACGTTGCTGACGACTGACAGTTCCAATATTAAAGAACTATACCCTGATTGCATTAATTTGGGGAAAGGCACACGACGCACTGCGCGCTCTGTCCTCAGCCAGGCGGCGCATGCACTCCGCGGCGCGCTGCGAGGCCCTCCGCCTCTCGGCACGTTGCACTTTTCCCCGTGTCTACAAATAAAAACATATTTTAATTAGCTCGCAAAACGGGTCTCCGGATTAACGGCGCTGATCTTTAGCTTTATACGGGCTAATAATAAAAAAGATAAATCACGGTTTAACGTGACGCGTTTTGAAATTTCCAGTCAGGAGTTCGCTGAGGCTGAGCTGTCGGGTTTTATTTATTCCCTTTTTGTTTTTAATTTTAGGCCAACCAATAAAACGGCTTAACGACTCTATTAATGCATCTATTATATTTTTCTTAGATCAATAAAGTTTTATTTTGATAGCGTTGTCTACGCACGCCGCGAATTCAGATTCTCCACGAAATCACCCACTAGCCGGCTTTGATATTTATCAGAATTTTATTTGCTCGGTTTTATGGACCCTGGGACGGCTTTCCTTACGGAAGCGGAATTAGAAAGAAAGCGTTTCTCGTCCCCTGGCGTCCACAATATTCTTTAAAATTTCTTTTAAACGGGGGTTAAGCTCCGAGAGACACGTTGTTAAGCGCCGGCAGTGCGGTAGCTACACCCAACACATGCCAAATTAGCTCAGTTTAGTCGGAATTGACCATTATCTTTTATAGTTAAGAACCAAGCGCGCGTTATTAGTTTTACTTCAGTGGGTTTGATGATGCCGGTTACTATTTGCCTTGGCCTTGTTAGCGATTAAAGAAAGCGGAGATAATGCAGCTCCGAGCGGAGTTCACGATCGAGGCGGGGTGCCCCGGCAGCCACCCGGCGTAGGGCTGAGGAACAAACGAGCGGCCCCGACCGGCGCTCCCAACGGCAGATCCCGCACGATCGGAGTTCTGCCTTCGGGCACAGCCACCGAGAGCCGAGCCACGGCCCCTGCGCCGTCGAACCCTCGGGGGCCTGAGTGAGGGGAGGAAGAGAAATGAGGCTAAAATCTGGTTTTCTTCTTCCTAATCATCTCTGTCCTCCGCGCCTTTTGTCTGATGTAGTCTGCGTTAGCAGTCGAGAAGGTGGAAGCGGCCAACTCGCGTTTGTTGTGATGCGTTTTGAGCCCCTTTTATTCAGGAGGATCTCAATGTCCTTTTAAGGGCCTTTCCTCGCTTTAATCCAATTTTTTAAAGGGAGCTGCTTATTTTAAAAACAGCTTTGGAAGGATTTCAAGCGTTACTCCTCGATTCCGTACGGTTTTTAGGTTTGCAATCCATTCCTATTTAATTTGGCAAATGCAAAACAAACATACCGCAAGAGCGGACTTCCCCAGAGTAATTTTTATACCTGACTTGTGCAGAGAAATGTATTGGGAGCGTGGAGCTGGGGCTCACGTTTCACTTTATTTAGATCTGCATTTATAACGCTAAGCCTATTGATAATAGCCTTCCTGTATAGGAACCAATAAAATGGTTCCTTGCACGGTATTAATTTTGTTAGCGGTGATACGGCCCTCAGAGGAATCTGATAAGGGTTTGTCCATCACGCGTTAACACATCTCGCATTTGGGAAACACAAACGGTATTACGGGAGGAAACGTAGGGACAACCTCGAAGGGTTTCCGCAGGGTGTCGGGCCCCCTCCTATCCCCCATCCGACAGGAGATCCCGCTCGGCACTCAAGGGTAAGTCCGAGAACGCTGGGAATATAGGGCGCCTTTCCATCAAGGTTTTATGGCGACTGTGAAGTTGTAACGACCTCTCCCTGCCGCAGCCTTCTAGTTGACGAAGACGGAGCCTCGGGAGGGCCCCAGCAGAGCGACTTGCTCACTTGTGTCCCGCTGCCCCAAAACTACCCGTCCGGAGCCATGGCAAAACTGGGGAGAAAAAACAAAAGAGTAATTTCCCTCTCTAGGCGACCGCTCACCCCGGAGACCACGTGAGGCGTGTCAGAGCCGGGGGTGGGGGGACAGCGCTTCCCTCCGGGGCTCTCTGAACGCCAAGGGTAGGGCCGGGACGCGGCACTCCGCGCGGCTCTGGCGAGGGCAGCGGGCAGAGAGGCCGCATCTCTTCCGGCCCCCCGGGAGCGGGGCGGCCGACTCTGCTTCCCCGGGAGGAGATGCCGCGGGAAAGAGGAGCGAGCTCTGCTGCTCTCGGGTGGGCAGCGAGAGCTGGAAAACCTCGAGTAGTCCCAGGCTCCGCTCGGGCTGGAGAAGCCTTAATTCCTCTGGCCAGGCAGGCAGGCGACTTCAAAATGGCCTAAGCGAAAGATGATGGAAGTGAAAGCAAGCGATCATTAAGCGATTCATTAAAAAATCTATGTGTCTCTCTGTCTGCGTGCCTGTCTGTCTGCTATCTGTCTGCTCCCTCCGCCACAATTACAAATTGGCAGGACAGAGCTGTCTCCTATCTCAGGATTCATCTGCGTATCCTTCTCTCTATTATTTAATGCAGCGCTTGCGACAGAGACGGTGCTTCTGGAGAGGAGAAGAGTGAATGACCCAAAAGGGGGGAGGGGGAGGACCTGGAGCGGGGGGGGGGCAAATAAAAATGATCGCCCAAATATAAACACGCCAATAAACAGGGTGCGCAGCATCGTGCGAGCATCCATCTGAGCTGCTCACGTCTGGATTCTTTCTGTGGCATATGTCTGGCTTTGGATTTTAAATGGCAATCAGACCTCGGGAAGAATCCAGCGTTAACTACAGCACTAGAAGCTGCAACCGCACAATTAATCCTCCAGAGTGGCACTGCTCCCTCCGAGATTCCTAAGAGCAGCAGCCAGCTCTTTATCTCTTGGAAATGTTAGCTGGGGGTGATATGGGGCTGAAAGGGCTCCCTCCCTTTCAGGGTTTCGAACGCAGGAGACACCAGGGCCCTTTACAGTTCCCGACGATTGTGATAAACAATAACACGTCTCTCATTCTTAAAAAAAAGAAAAGAAAAGAAAAGAAAAGAAAAGAAAAGAAAAGAAAAGAA